AAAGTAATTTATTGATATTTTATTTAAAATTATATATAATTAAAGGTATTGTAAACGATGAAACCGAGGAAGATATCAATAACGATAACATAATTAATACAAAAAAATGGATAAAATATTCATTTATACTACCATATCGTCTTTTAAATAAATTAAATTCTTATTCTAATTTATATTTATTATATAAATATTTATTGACTCTACCAACTACTTCTTGTTCAGCCGAAAGAGTGATGAGCAAAGTCAAAATAAATAAAACTAGAATGCGGAATAAAATTTCTGACCCCTTTTTAGAAAATTTACTTCTAATATCCAGCGAAATTGATGTTTTTGAAAGATTTAAAATAGACGACATTATAACGCGATTTGCATCTACGTCTAAAAGATTAACTAAATTATTAATAAAATAAGTTATATCTTTTTCACAGCTAATTATATACGCCTTTTTAATAATGTAAATTTAATTTAATAGTTTTTTATATCATTCTAGTCCGGTGCATAATATAATACTATATTCATTTTATTTAAATATTTTATAATAGTTATATTTACATAAATGTTTTTATAATTCCAGTGCAAAATATATTATATTCATTTTATTTTAATATTTTATATAAAACTTATATTTACATAGATGTTTTTATAATTCCAGTGCAACTATATTCATTTTTTTCTCATATTTTATATAAAAGTTATATTTACATAAAAAAATTTATATTTCCAGTGCAAAATATACTCTATTCATTTTATATTTTATATAATAGTTATATTTACATAAATGTTTTTATAATTCTTGTGCAAAATATACTATATTCTTTATTCTAATATTTTATATAAAAGTTATATTTACATAAAAATTTTTTTTATATAATAGTTATATCTATATGAATGTTTTTAATTAATATAAAGGCATTAGTATTTATAGAATCAAGCTATACCTCTTTAAAATTACTCATTTTGTTTTTTTTACTTAATATAAAGGTATTAGTAATTATAGAATCAAGCTATACCTCTTTAAAATTACTCATCTTATATTTTTTTACTAAATTTTTGATATTTTTTTATAGTAATGTAAATATGTTATCTCATTTAATACTATTATATTAATTTTTATGAAAATAAATTGATTATCAATCAAATTATGAAAAGATTGCACTACCTACTTAAATATAAGTTAATTGAAAACGGATAGTAACAATAGTTATCAGTTTGTAAATTTTTTTTTCCAAAGCAGGTCTGAATGTTTGTAAGGGTATAAATAGTGACTTAATATAAGATTTTCTTGATTAAGGCAAATATCGCGGCCGAAGGCCGCGAAATTTTTTTAGGGGGTAGGGGTAGATTTGGGATGGGGGTTGCCTCCATCAAATTTTCTGCCATGTAGACGCTGTATATAGCTCTCCATCATAGTTTCTCGTAATTATAATTTTAATATAAAAAAACTAAAAATTACGCTATATGGAGCTAATTGATCTTATAATTGAATTTGTAATATTTCCCCAAATTGGGTTAATTTTAAATATTATTTTACAAAAGGACATTAGTCTTAATTAATGTTATATAATATCCAATAATGGATTAAAATTATATATTATATTTTTACCTTACAATCTAATAATTCATTTTTTTACTAAAAATTGTTATATTCAATGTAACAAGCACGAATTTTTGAATGTAAAATAATGTATAATATAATTTTTTCAATAAGAAGCTCTTCATATTAAGTGCCATACCATGCAAGTACATGAATATAAGGAAATTGTTTTCATGTAGTGTAATTGTGTTCAATAAGCAGCAATTCGTCTTAAGTACCATACCATTCAAGCGCAGCAATGAAATGAAATTATTTTCATGTAGCAATCTTTAAATTATCTTTAGTCCAATGTGAGTATAGAATTATACAGAGCTCCGTCCCCACCAGCCTGCACTAAGCTGGTGCCTCTATCCTCCACTATAAAGGTATTTAATTTAAGGATCAAATGAAACAAGAATTTCATTAAATTTCAAATGAATCACCAGTAAAATAATTAACTTTTATAAATAAAATATATCTTTTATTAAAAACGATATTCAATTAGGATGTATATAGAACGTTTAATTATTTAACAAGACAAAAATTAATATGTCAATTTACCAAATCAACAAGAAAATATATTAACTTTTACAATTATCGATAATTTAAATATTTGATTTATTGTTCTGTGGTAAAATATAAACATGCATTGCAGATAATATAATATTATAAAAAAAGACCATTAAAATATAACGTAGAATAAACAATTTTACTACAAATATTATATATATTGTTATATTCGCTTTGTGAATATGTGATCGACGATTGTTAAGTATTAATTTGAATATAAATTATATTTTTATATAATTTGTTAGTTTGTGAATATGTGATCGACGATTGTTAAGTATTAATTTGAATATGCAGACTAGGAATTTATTTTTTTATGAACTTGAATAGACTTGTAATTTTAATTATTTTTTATGAATACTTGTAATTTTTATTATTTTTTATGAATTTTTAATATACTTGTAATTTTTTTTGCACATTAAAAAAATGTATATAAATGAAAAAATTTTAAAATAAAAGTTAGTGTATGGTTTTATAATTCAAGAAACTTATTTTTGCGGTATAAATTTCGAGATATGGTTTCGTAAGACTTTACCGAATTATTTAATTTTTATATATATTTTTTTTTATTAATTAGGTTCCATTAAATTCAAGTCTCTCCCACGAGCCTTCGACAATTTGATTACAATTCATATAGGGAATTGTAACATATATAAATTAAATATTTATAACTAACTATAATTGGAGATCGTATGACGATGAATATAATAAGATTTCGCTCGTATAAATAAAAATTCACTACTAAAATATAAAATCATATATCTATAATTAGTCAATCCGCAAGTTGGCGTATTTTTATCTGAAATTTTTTTAAATTAATTTATAGTTTTATATATTTTTAAAAATTTTATTAAAATTATTACTTAATAATAACCTTTAGTCATTTTTTATTTATAAAAAATTTGATAGAAATAAGGTTTAAAATTGTTAGATTTCGAATATGGGTTTATTAAAAATAATTACAATGGTAAAATTTTAATTCTTAGTTATCTATATTTAAATACAAAGGCCAAAACTAAAACAAATCAATATATTTTAAAATAATTTTGGTCTACTTTGCTGTTTATATTTTCTCTAATAATTAATTATTAAATTTAGCACCTTGGGGAAATAAATGATAAGAAAATATTTTCACTGTGATTATAAACACTTGTATAAAAAATTTAATAATGTAAAACAATTTTGATAGTAAATTTTTTTTTGCATATAATCATGTCATTCTCAATATCTTTAAAATTTTATCCAAAATATAATTTTAAAAGCTTAAAAAGGATGTTTACATCTAGCATCATAATACCTCTTGATACTCCATTTTTAAGGAAGTAAATAAAAATTTAGATATAAAATGTCAATTGTTTAATTTAATTTTGATGTACAGTTTGTAATACCTGTATGATTTTTATGCAATTCATTAAATAGCATTACAAATTTATTTAACTGGGGCTTTGTACTATCTTTTCTTTAATTTGTCTCATTAAAATTAAAGGTACTAAAATCGAAGAATTTAATAAAATAGATAAATAAATTAATAAAGTTCAACGTTATAACATTACCCATAAAAAAAGGTAAGATGATTGAATGTTTTTTATTGTTTCTGAACTATTTATATAAATATGATTCTAACAAATGACATATTATATGAATTTATAAAAAGAATTTATTATAATATTTAGATATATCAGGATCAAATAATAATAATAATGTAATTCTATTCAATATCATATGCCATTACAAAATAATATTGTATTATTTAATATTCACAATTTACTTTACCAGCTAATGAACTTATTTTATATTTAACTTTTATATGTAGATATAACTTTAATCGTTTGGATTTTAGAATGATAAAATATTTATAATAGTAATTTTATATATTTAAATAAGGTATTTAAAAACAATAAATGCTTACTTGCGGAATGAGTATTATTGAATCATATATTTTAATTTTATTTATTAATATAATTATATAAGATTTAACCCGTGTATTAATAGACAAAATGAAATTTATTATTTATATTACTTTAATATTGGATATATATAGTAATTTAAATTTTATAATGGTTTATATCATAAGAAAATGAATCTCAGCTAAATCTAAATCAATAGAGTATATAAAAAGCATTTTCACCTACCATTTTGCAGTTTACCTTGTTTAGCCAAACTATGTTTTTTTATGAGTTCTTTTTCTTTATTTGTTTCCTTTTCTAATGAATAATAAACTTAATAAAAACAAGGTTTCTTTTGATCGTAAATTTAAATATAAAATAGAATATAAGTTTTTAGTTAAGCTAATTTTAATTTTTTTATTAAAAAATGGGGAGAAAGCGTAAATTAATAAATAACGTATTTTGTCGAAATCAAGAGTAAAACAGGAGGTTTACGCCCAAATCGGGAAGTGTGAGTGTGACTACCTGATGAGCATATGTAAAGCTTTGTGTTGGGACAAAATCTCTTAAATATTTTTAAATTTAACTCATACAGCCAGCGGTTAAAAAAAATAGGATAAATATTTTTGAGATACAAATGAAATAAATAAATCTTTAATTTAAAAAAATTAATTTTATAGAATCTCCAAAATTTATATTTTTTAAAGATATTACATATTCATTTTTTATAAATAGTGCCAGGAATATTATAAGAACTCTTAAATAGTAGGACCTATCATGATTATACAATAAAATTATTAAATAATTATTTTTAATGATGTAAAATAAGATGGGCCATCTTTAGATTATAATAGTAAAAGATGTCCTAATTTTTAGATTTTACTCATTCCATAAAAATTAATCAAACAATAAATATTTTTATTATCATTTTTCGCTTAAATGCATGGAAAAATTTGATAATTTATAATTCTAACCTCTCCCCATTTGTAAAAAAGATTCCCCAATAGTATCTTGGTGTGATTAAGCTTTTTGAAAGTTTTCTTATTTGGCATAGGGGAGGCCATGAATAAGCTTTCATTTTTGAAACAGTTCAATATCCTGCCCATGTTGCAGGTATGGACGTAGTGACAGCATTCGACAATGAAACACGCCCTATGTAACATTGGACATTCCTAAAAATATTTTAAATATTAAAATTTAAAAATAATTTAGCGATTTATTTTTATTATTAGGCTTTCAATATTTTAAGAAAGAAAGAAAAAAAAATGAGATTAATTATATGATAAACTCATTTATGAACACGTTTATAGGTTAAAAACAATTTTTCCATAGAGATATCTGTAAATATACTTCATAACCTTATAAATATACTAATTATATTATATAATATCTAATCAATAGGGATAAATGCTTATAATGGAATAAAGATTAATTTTTGTAAAATTAAAAGTTATAATTATAACCTAATCTTGGAGTTATTTTAATGTATTTGTATTACATAGAGGTAATGTTAGAATTGAAAATAGCAATACCTGTAGTACTAGTATAGATAAATTAAAAATGATTCAAAAGTTCACGCCAACATTGTCTGAAGTTCAGAATAGGTATGCTACTCTTAACTGGAATATATTTCAGACAAAATAAAAAAATTTTTAAAAAATGAGTCCAATAAATAATTGCGCTATTTTTTTATACCTCTTTAAAACTTATTTTTGAGTGCTTTTAAATTTAAAAAGTGATATTTTGCCGGAAATATATTACAGTATTGGCTGAGGAAATACAGGTATTGTCTGAATAAGAACATTGCCGATTCTGATATATTCATATTTTTTAAATAATTCAATAGACAAACCATTAGTTAAATATTCATACATTTACAATTTTAATGTTTATACCAAGTCTAACATTGAGGCTATCATGCCAGATTCCGGGAATGTACCGATATGGGTGCTTTGAAATAGTGTGTGCATACATAACAAACCTCTTTTCAATTTATCGACTTCGACGTATAGTTTTAGATAATCAACTTGCATTTTAACATCTTTCTTAGATATTTGATCTAAAGTTAAAAAAATTTATTATTTAATGTTTCTCAATGAAACCAAAATCAAAAATGCAAGCAAAAAGGGATAGGTAAACCGTTATGAATATAAATATTACAATTACAGTAACATAACAAAATTTGGGCAATGCTATAAATAGCGTTGTGCATTATCAATTCATAAAATAATTGATTAAGGTGATATATTATTCTTATACAAAATAAATCATTGTTTTAGAATGCCAGGTGTGACTGAGAGATTCAGATACTTTTATTGAGAAACAGTACCACACTTGTTGATTTCAACTCAAAATAGTGTTTACTTCCGAAATCAACATCCTCCAAAAGTTTAGGGTTCGGATTGAAGATGACAGTGATGCGAGTTACGATTTTGCATTTTAATAAATTTTTGGCTTATTTTTAGTAAATTGCTTTATGTTGGCCGACTAAACATTATTACCCATAAAAAATGATCTGGTATTTTGTTATTTAATAATCTTGTTACTGTTATTATGACACACTTTGTCTATTTTTGAATTTGAGTTTCAGATAAACAAACTTAGATTACAAGATATTTCTAACTTACCCTTATACCAAATTTCAGTTGGTAATAATTTGATATGTTGATGGCCCTTAATATATTCTTTGATAATCTTAAAAAAATACTCTATAATTAGAGGACACCAAAGATTAATTTGTAATTTTGTATTGGAAGATAATATTTATAAAATGTCGGACTTATTGAATGTGAAAATGTTTTTTTTTGTTTAATAGAAATTAAAAAAATATATTAAAAAATGAGCCATAGAGTCTTTCAAGCCTCTTTTAAACAAACAAAATTAGGATCATAAGTCATCTTATCGTTAAAAATGCTGTTAGTCTATAGCTTGAAAGACTTAGTAATTCACAAATAGACGACTGATTATAAAGTTTTTGCGAACGTATCATGGTATCTACATTTATATACCTTAAACAATCTATCATTAGAGAAGAGTATGCTCATTTTTATACTCGTATACTTCAGCGTCTTTTTCCAAAAGATCTGGCATTTGTATTTATATATGATGTCTGACTTTATTATTATTGAAAGTAAAATAAAATTTCGTGAAAAAATTGAATAAATTGTTTCAGGCTATCATATTCATAACCTTAATATAATATCAATAATAACTCGTATCGATGTATGCCAGTGAGTTAATAATAATAATATAAAAATCGTTCAAAATTTTTAAAAATATTATAGTTTAGTTTTTAAAAAATTAATTTTTCATGTATAATGTTCAAAATTTTAAAAAAATATTTGCCAGAGTTCTAACATTTTTTCCTATAGACATGTTGTTTGTAATAAAATAAAATATAATCAAATCAATTGTTATAAAAATATTCCATAATATATTTGCTGTATATTTTAAAATCTCTAAAATTTAATTAATTTTTTTTAAATCTTATATTCATCACACAATATAATAATGATAAATAATAATAAATCATATTCATTGGCGTGCGCGAAAAAAGGGGAGGCAATGCCATAAAAATTCAGATGTCGGCTAGATCGTTTTCAAAGATTTGCTGATTCCTACATCTTATCGCATATATATTCCAATTTATATTTATTTTTCACATTCACAGCAGAAATAAATAAGTTAATTTATTCTATGAATTAATATCGATTTCAAATTTTTTTTGGCGGTATATTTAACTCTCATTTTAAAATTTCCCACCAAATCATTTGAAACTTTTTTTACTGCAAAATGAAAGTATATTTCAAAAAAATAACTTCGATTTGATAGAGACTATGAGAATAGCTGAAAGCATTAAGAACTTAGGGAAATCAAGGCAAATTGTAATTGACGAATTTCATAAATTAGAAGTCATTGTTGAGTCAAGACAGAGCTCTATAAATATAATATTTATCTACCTCCAGTCCCAGCAAGGAAAGCCCATCATTCCAATATTAATTTAGAGAATACTATAAGATAAATCTCTTTCCCCCTCTTATATACTTTTTTAACTCAAATTAATTAAATGTTCTTGATTAATCAGGCAGTACTTACAAATTGTAAACATTATTACCGCAGAATCCTTCCAAACTTATTTCAAATCTTGATAGAGAAAAAATTAAAGTTATTAGATTTTTATTATGAGAATGTTAATCCTATGACTAGTGTTGTTAAACGGCTCGTTTTAAGCCGATTTTTATATACGGCTAATTTAATAATTTGGCCAGGAAAATATTACCTAAGCTTCGAGATTTCGCTATTATATGGGTATACCCTCGGATCATCTACGAGCAAAATCTTCAGGCTTGCGTAATATTCATCTGGATAAAATATTGAGCTAGCCGTTTTTAAAAATCGGCTCAATTGGAGCCGTTTAACAACATTACATATGACGCATAGCTGAGTGAAAACTATGGTTTAAAATATTAACTATGTTTGATAATGTTTTAAAATTGTTATTTCCTTATTTAACAAGTATAAAAACATACCTCAGAAGAAATGTTGTTAAATAGCTCGATTTGAGCCGATTTAAAAAAAAGGCTAATACAACATTCTAAACAGTAATATTGTCCAAGCCTTGAGATTTCGCTAATAGATGTATAAAAATTTGTGCCACCTATGAGCAAATATTCAGAAATGGATAATATTTTTCTAGATAAAATATTGAGTTCGGCGTTTTTAAAAATCGGCTAAAATTGAACCGTTTAACAACAGTACTGAGAATTACTGCCTCTGAAAATAGATTGAATGGGTTAGCCCTTTTTAATATACATAGGAATTGGCAACAATCACGAATGAAATCATTAAAATTGAGCTCAATCCAATGAGGGTTGAAGTTTAGATTAAAAATTTATAATATGCTTATTAATTATATTTTTCCCCATTTTTTAATACACCATATTTTTATTTCCATGAATACTTTGTAAGTTTCCTAAATTAATTTTTTTTAAATTTTACCCCCTTCCCCTCCCCTTCCAGCGAAGTACACGCCTGATAATATTAAATATAGTAATATACGTTTCGATTCATTAGGTCTGGAGTCAAAATCATTTGCTATATTCGATGTCATCATTGCTTGCTTAAATTTAATTTCAGATCTTTTATTTAACATTATAAATATATATATATATAATTAGAATGTTAATGAGATAATAATAAAATTTACGATACCCAATAACCTTTCTAAGTGATGAATGCTGACATACCATCGCATAGGCATAACCAGGATTTTGGCAAAAACGGGAGGGGGGAGCATTATCATGGGTGTTTTTCCCCATGAGTATTATTAAAGGTCTTTAGGTTCACTAATTGTAGGTTATTGTTATATTTTTATATAATTTTAGGTATTTCACTTTTTTTATAAATAAAAATGCTTATTTTTGATTATGCTATTTTATAAAGTTATTAACTTTTAATAATTTACTTTTCTTTTTTCTAGTAAAATATTGTACCTTTTGAGGGATAGGGAAGTGGAAGGTGGAATTTTTTTATTAGCTTCCTTGATATGTCTAAAAATTTCTCTTTTAGTTATCAACATCGCTAGAATATTAGGAGCTCTCTACATTCTATAATTTTCCACGTTTTAGAGTATAGTAGAGGGAAATATTGTAATTTTGATTATTTACCCACTTCCCATTTATGTACCAATTTAATTACAAACTTGAAAATATTTTAAATGCACGATTTCGAGATTAACCAGTTAAAAGAGATTATATAATATTATCGTGTTTATCTTTACCTATACTTTTCCGGTATCAAATAATTTTTGATTTTAAATGTGGGCATAGAAGTTCGGCTGATATCATCTGACGTATCTGTATTATTTGATGTAACATTATGTTTCTTCACGTTCGGAAAAGCGAAATGATGAAAGGCAGTAATTTTTTGAAGTTCACTGGCGCGTATTAAACTCTCGATAGTTTTACCCTTAGGTTGTTTGACGGATTTATCTATAATAAAAATCAATTTAAAAAAAAGAATGTAAAATTAATAGAAAATAATAAGAACAACATTAATAGTGTTATTAAACATCTCGATTTAAGCCGATTTTTAAACGGCTAACTCAATATTTTAGTCAAATTGCCTACTCGAGATTTCGCTGATAGATGTCCAAACCTTTATGCTACCTATGAGCAAAATCTTTAGGCTTGCGTAATATTTTTCCACAAAATTGAGTTAGCCGTTATTAAAAATAGGCTTAAATCGAGCCGGTTAACAACCTTAAAAATTAATCATTACAAAGAAATAATGATAGAGCGTCAAATGGCTAAAAAAAATTGTCTAAGATATCTATTTATGGGCTTTGCTACTTATGATTAATATAAAGAATATATATTTTTTTAGCTTATTTGATTCTTATTATTTTTATATCCATGGCCTTAACAACAGGGGGAAAAATCCCTCCTCCTATCCCCTCTCCTAATAATACCATATTCAAAATTTTTATGCAATTTATAAAAAGTGATGTTCGTCTTATGGTTTAGTATAGAACTAATTTGGTCTAATATAGACGAAATATAAAAATTATTTAACCCCCCCCCCCCCAATACTTCCCACTACGGGGTCAAAGTAATTTATGACCACATCCCTGTTTATATCTTCTTTCATTTTTTTCCTAAACTTTATAATCTGAAATAAATCATAATAAAAATACAAATTTTATAACTTAAACTCATCTGAATTAAACGGCTTATTATTTTTGGAAATTTTTAGCATGTAAAGTTAATTATATTCTTTTTCCTAGGATTTTCATACTTTTATGGTACATTTTGAAAAAAATCCACTTTCAAACCTGCTGGAAATTATGTTAGCACTGACCTATTTCAATCCCAATTAGTTATCTTATAACTAATATGCTAACTAAATAATTTACAAACTAGTAAATAGGTGAAAAAAATACAAAGATAACCAAATACAGAGAAAAATTAAATTTAAAAGGTCATCAAATAATACTTAAAAATGGGAGGGGGGGGGTGTACCAAATGTGAGTTTGTAAACTATTATAGCTATGGTAGTTTATAAGCGAACTAAGGTTGTTTAGCCAAAACTAGTTGTTAAACGGCTCTATTTGAACCGATTTTTAAAAACGCTAACTAAGTTTAGACATCTATTAGAGAAATCTCGAGGCTTAGCTAATTAAAGGCTTATTTAAGAGGCACTTGGAAATCAAATGGAATTACTTATGAAATAAATTAAAAAAATACTTTTCATCTTATATTTATCAACAACTCTTTTGATCCTATTCTTGATTTGTTTAGGCCTTCCATTTTTCCCATATTTTGATGCTAAATCTTCGGAACTAAAGTTTTTGATGGCATCGAGATCCTCTTCAAAAGATTGACTCCTTATGTGTGATCTACAATACAAAGATTACAATTAATAAATAATCTATAAAAAGTAGTAATATATAATTTGGATAAATCCAATTATATCGGAGATACGAAATAATTATATACTCTTTTCTAAAATCCCCGTTAAATTGCATTAGAGGTATCATTGTAAATTTCGTTAACAATTGATTGATATTTTGCCCACTTGTCACGAAGCCAGATAATGCGATTCTACTGAATATATTTTCGTATTCATCTTTTACAAAATTGACGAATTTCAAGATATCGGTAAATAAATTCTTTTAGAGTAATTTTTTTTAAATATCAGAATTATTTGGTAGGTATATTCAAAATACGTGAAGATTAGGAATCTCTCAATTTTAACATTTACGTGTTCTACCGGAAATGATTTTTAACATGTGTAAAGACTTAACTTATGAATTTTAAACAATTTTGCGGTAAACTTTTAAAATACACTTAATAAATATTTCCCATAAAAATTACAAAATATGAGAAATTTATGGCTAGCATTAAGTTTATAGAGTAATTTGTAAAATGTAAAAGTGGTGGATGTTGTGAGGAGAACTACATTTTTTTTAAAAAAAACTCTTATTAATTTCAAAGTTGTATTTTTAATCAAATAAAATTTTTTTAAAAAATGATAATTGATAATATTTACGAAATTTTCAGGATTCATGAGGGTTTTGGAATTTTTACCCAATTTATGGATAAAATTTTCGAAAGCACAGTCAAGTGTTATGTATTCGATGCTATCACAACTGTGGGATACAACGGGTCCTTTTTTTTAGATTTTGAATTATAAATTAAGTTATATAACAATGAATATTGTAAATTTATATATTCACGAAAGAGAGGGGACAACTTAGGCAAAAGACACATTTATATAACAATAGATATATGTATATATATACTTTGCAGGTCAGTTTTAATTTTCTAATAACTTTTATAAAATTATCATGTAAATTAATTCAAATAAAATATAATATATATCCTCATTATGTATAAAAAGAAATTGAAGCATACTTGAACTTGCATTCATGTTTTCGTTAGTTTTTTTATCCAGACAAAAGCCTAACAACACGTGATAAAATTCAATTTGATTGCTCATTTTATCCTTAATGGACAGGGACTTGAAAAATCTAATATACTTTGTGGGATTTAGGCTGTATAACATCATTAAGCATGATTTGTCAATTTTACTAACCTCTTCGGATAATTGTAGGTTACTTTCAAATTTGCAACCATATAAACAGCCCACATATTTGAGAGTTCTAAATTTTTTGACATAAAAAAGGAGATTATATTATGGATATGAACTCGATTGTATAAGATTATTATAGTATATATATCTTATTTATAATGTTTTGTATAATTATAAATTTAAATTTTATTTGAATAATAATTTCATTTATTTTATAAAATATTAGGTTATTTCTAATCATCATTTAATTGTGTTTTAATCAAAGATTATGGCATCAAATTTATCACCGTAATCCTAACTTCCATTAGAAACGGCATTTATATTGTTGATGAATTGTTTTTAAATAAAAAATATTGAATATAAAAAATATTATATATTATATAACAATACTTTTTTTTTTAAAAAAATGAATTAACAAATCATTACATAACTTGATTAATATTTCCAGCATTGTCTTAAACTCAAAAGTGTTATTGGGATCGAATTTGACTTTCTCAACTATTTCAGAATTTTTTTGGGTCCAAAACTCGTTAGCAAAACTTTTGATGTTGAAATCATTATTCATCGATATCGACTGGACTTTCAAGGCTGAAATCGGAATCTTTTTGGGACTAAATTTTTTCAAAATTGTTGACACAAAAATTGAAACCGTTCTACATATGCTATCATTAGTTGAATCATCTCGTAATGCCTTGTGTATAGAGAGCAAAAGGATTTGAAAATTCAAATGTCCAGAGGGAGTTATATAATTTATGCACCCAGGTATTTCTTCGTACACGTGTCTTTGATACTGTTGTATTAGGAAAATTATTTAAATAAATTAACTTTGAAATTGTAACTTTTAAAATTGTATAAATTATCACTGTGGGATATTAAAGATAAAAGGTTATAAAATTTGAACATTAACTTTAAAGTATATTGTGATTATGACTTTAGGTTGTTAAAGTTTAATTTGTTTTTATAGATATATATAGTCGTGTTTTTTGTTAATTATTAGAGTTAGTTGTAATATTATTTAATAAAATAAATATTGAATAAAATACGTTACTCGTTTTCAAGTTGTAAATTTATCGAAACAAATGTCTTAAAATATATAAAAATTCACTTAAATAATAATTGCCTTCCGTATAATTTATTATGGTGGCAGAGGTAAAAGTAGTATGATGAATAAAAAATTAATTATTTTATAATTTTTCTAAAAAATAAATAAATAAAAATTTAGGTATCAATGGTTGATGGAATTGATACAAGTGGAAACTCATGGACAAAATATTATGGAAATGGATTCTTAAAGATCATATTTAATAAATTCTAAAACACGTAAGAGATATAAAATAAATATGACATATAAATATAAAAACTTAAAGTAAATTAAAGAAAATTAAAATAAAATTAATCAATATGGACTATCCAAAATATGATAATGATGTAAATAAATATATAAATGAATTGGAGAAATTTTTTTTAAAATATAAGATTGTAAATAGTGCTAAGGTATTGCTTCAAAATCTTCCAGAAGGTCTATATTTGGAGATGGACGTATTAATGGAAGCAATAAGGTTACCAACAGGGAGAGATGCAACTTTTGAGAAAACTATGACAATATTAAAATATTTATCTGGCTATAAGGCAGAAAAGGAGATAAAAGAAACACCTAAATTACATCATAATTATTTAAATTATAAAGTGCAAACCAAAAGTTATAGGAATAATTATAATAATCATTATGAGTGTAAAAATTGTTACGAAAGACATTACAATAATAAGGAATATAATAATTATGCGAGATTTAACAATAGAAATAATAATCATAATTTCAATTACAATAAGTATCGATATAATAATGATAATAATTATAAATATAATAGTATAAAAAATAATGAAGTAAAGTAAAAAAAACCAATCAATGTAAAAATAGAAGTAAAAAAACCAATAGTGAAGGATAAGCCAATTGATGTAGAAATAGTATATAGTTCTTTATTTCGTAGTGATATTAATAGTAAGTCGTATGAAGAGTGGAAAACGACTAATGAATTTAACAAGAGACAATTTTGTAGAATTAACGCAGAAAAAGTGGACATTTATAAAACAAAAATTGTAGAAAAGTTAGAAATTAAAACTAAAAATTTTGAAATTACGTCGGTAAAAATATTAAAAAATGATATAGTAGAAACGTTTATATATAGTTATATTAATCACATAGTAAAATTTGAAAAAATAATAATAAAAGAGAAAAAATGTGATAATATAAATAATTTAATTAATATTGATAAAGATTCTAGGAAATGCAAAAATTTAAAAAAAGTGAAAAATATTACGTGTAAAAGTAGGAATAATGTTAAAAGAAATAGGAATAGTTTAGGAGAAAGGATGACAAAATTAAAATTGAACATATAAAAGAATTCTTAATGAAGGAGAGAATAAAATTTTTGAGAATAAAATTTATTTTTAAAAGTTTGAAATTTGATTTTAAGGAAATTTTTATAAAAAAATTTATTAAACTAAAGAATAAAAGAGTTAAATTCAAATTAAAATAAAAAGAATAAAAAAGTACGTAATATAAAATTTTAATTACTTCATGGATCAAAATTATTAATATAACATGTAAATTAATACTATAATATAAAAAATTTAAACAATACTAAAACGCGATTCTATAATCAACATTTTATGATGATTCTTATATTCTTATATTCTATTGGATCGATTCTTATTATTCCTAATTATTCTTGATTGACTAATAATAATGATAATAATAACGATGGAGGGCAAACGAGCAATCAAACAAATAACAAAGAGACGAAACGATCATAACAAACCAACGTAATGAAAACAAGCCAATGATAAAACGTGACAAAAGCAAGACAACAAATCAACAATTACTTGTGCAACAATAAAAAAATAGCGAAAATGACAAACTAATCGTACAACGGACGGACGAGTTTTAGAGAGGGAAGAAGTCAAATAAAATCGAAATCAAAATCAAGTTCAAGATCAAAGTCAAGTTCGAGGTCAAGTTCAAAATCAAAAGGAACAAAATCGGAAATATTATCTGAGACCGAAAAAGATTTATCAAATATATATATAAACAAAATGAATTTCTTTTTAGCTAAATCTGGGTAATGAACACTGAAAGATACATGGACGTAAACGGATAAAAATCTTAGTGACAACTTGAACATACGATACGATCGATAGATACAATGAAGGGGGAAACTAAAAGAGAGGGAAATGTTGTATTAGGAAAATCTAAATTTAAATTATCTTTGAAATTGTAACTTTTAAAATTGTATAAATTATCACTGTGGGATATTAAAGGTAAAAGGTTATAAAATTTGAACATTAACTTTAAAGTATATTGTGATTATGACTTTAGGTTGTTAAAGTTTAATTTGTTTTTATAGATATATATAGTCGTGTTTTTTGTTAATTATTAGAGTTAGTTGTAATATTATGTAATAAAATAAATATTGAATAAAATACGTTACTCGTTTTCAAGTTGTAAATTTATCGAAACAAATGTCTTAAAATATATAAAAATTCACTTAAATAATAATTGCCTTCCGTATAATTTATTATAATTTGAAATATATAATAAAATTAATTGATTGTAAATTGATTGCTTAATCTTTTATATTTTATAATATACCATATTGTATTGCATTTCTGTATTAAAATAAATAACCTTAACATTTCTAAGAGTCAAAATAAATTTTGAAAATATCTTAATAAAAAGTTTTTTTTAAAGTTATATACATCAAGATAATTTATCAATAAACCATAATTTTGCTATCACTAGAGTAAAAAGCTGGTATTTGATCAGTTTTTTCAAGATTATTTTTTTTGCCGATCGTTGATATGAAAGGATCTTTATTCAACTCCATATTGTTTTTACGTTTCTTAAATATATTTTCTTTGAAGTCCTTTTTAAATGTAGACTTTTTGGAAGATAGGTTTAGGATACTAGAATGGAAAGGTAGTTTTTCCATCGATATGTAGAGAATTTTGTCACTACGTTTTAGCTTATCGGTGTTTTCATTTATTTCAGGGCTCAGATATTGAGTTTTTGTCTTTTTTTAAAAAAGTTATAAATTGGTAGATAAATTAAAAATTATATTTTATTTTAACAAACGAATATACGACTTTATAATAATGTATTGATTGTTCAAACGACCGTGAAAAGAAAAATTAATTTTAAGTAAATGCTGAATAGTTCGATATTTGTTTTAACAAATTTTTATATATGCTTACTAGAATATCTTGTTGCTTAACCATAATCGGACTGTTCAATGGAAGACTTTTCCTTCGATTTAATTCTTTATTGGACCTAGATAGAGATATTGTATCTCCCGAACTATTCGCAAACTTAATTAAATTTTCTCCGGAGGGCGATTCTTTTATATTAATCGAATTCTGAGACTTCAAATCCAGATACGACCTAGATTTAGAAAATCCTGTGCTGACATGTTCCTCACCTATGGTTTTTTTTTATTATTAATGGAAAAATAAATCTATATTAATAGAATTTTAAATAATATAATAAATTTAACATTTTTGATATTTGATTTTGAACAATAGTATTTACCTAACAAGTTAGACATTATGTGATTCCTATTTCCATTGATTTCTTTATTAATTTTATTATCGACTTTATGATAATTGCTATTCGAAAAAAGAGGATCAACTTCATATTTGGTTAACAAATCCCTTGGGCACGGAAGCGACATCGATTTTTTGTTGAGCATGTAATGGTTAAAGCCATTAAGTTTAAAGGCCTTCCTATTTTGGTACTTAAAATGTTTGTGAATTTGATTAACTCTGAAAAGTAAATATTCCAAACCCCAATGTGTACCTTCATCGAACGATTGACTAGTTAGTAAGCAATGTATAACGGCCACGTCAAAAATGGTAGCCTTTCCTGAGGTTGAAATAGGATAAATTAGAGATATTTTAGGGATATTATCAGTGCTAGCCACAGGTAATTTATTCACACCTTTTGTAGAACCTGTCATAAACAAATATTTAATATGTTTATAAAAAAAAAACTAGAAAAAAGAGTATTTTTAAATTACAAAATCGAAAGTTAAATCATAAATGAAAGAAGAGGTACTGTAATATTTGTAAAGAAAATTTTAATTATATATAAAGAATTTTGTTAAAATGAATATTTTTTTTGCAAAACTTTAAATTAACATGTTAAAATTTTTCAAATAAAATAAATAATTTTAATCGTAAATATTTTAGATTTATTTAAGCTTATTTATATGACTGTTAGTAGGATTAATTGTGGAATAATAATAATAGGTTAATATTCCTCGAACGGACCAAAAAAAGATATGTCTTGGTATTAATATAAATTTCCTTTTTTCAGAAATTAAAGTTATTACAAATCATAATACATTCAATTTCAATTGAAATTAATTGAGCCCATAGGGTCTGGCAAGCATTTGTTACCCATGCATATATCTAATATAAACTATTTAAGAATATATATTTAAATATCCAAAAAAATATTTTTTCCTAAAATTGCTAAAATTAATTCTGTTTCTATTTTAGCCCGTTTTA